TGTTCTCCATAATGGCTGTATCAATTTACATTCCCGCCAACAGTGCAGGAGGGTTCCCCCTTCTCCACACCCTCTCCAGCATTTGTTATTTGTAGATTTTCTGATGATGCCCATTCTAACTGGTGTGAGGTGATACCTCATTGTATTTTGATTTGCATTTCTCTAATAATTAGTGATGTTGAGCAGCTTTTCATGTGCTTCTTGGCCATCTGTATATCTTCTTTGGAGAAATGTCTATTTAGGTCTTCTGCCCATTTTTGGATTGGGTTGCTTGTTTTTTTAATATTGGGCTGCATGAGCTGTTTATATAATTTGGAGATTAATCCTTTGTTCATTGATTCATTTGCAAATAGTTTCTCCCATTCTGAGGGTTGTCTTTTCGACTTGTTTATGGTTTCTCTTGCTGTGCAAAATCTTTTAAGTTTCATTAGGTCCATTTGTTTATTTTTGTTTTTATTTCCATTACTCTAGGAGGTGGATCAAAAAAGATCTTGCTGTGATTTATGTAAAAGAGTGTTCTTCCTATGTTTTCCTCCAAGAGTTTTATAGTGTCTGGTCATACGTTTAGGTCTCCAAACCATTTTGAGTTTATTTTTGTGTATGGTGTTAGGGGGTGTTCTAATTTCATTCTTTTACATGTAGCTGTCCAGTTTTCCCAGCACCACTTATTGAAGAGACTGTCTTTTCTCCATTGCATATCCTTGCCTCCATTGTCATAGATTAGCTGACCATAAGTGCGTGGGTTTATCTCTGGACTTCCTATCTTGTTCCATTGATCTATATTTCTGTTTTTGTGCCAGTACCATATTGTCTGGATTACTGTAGCTTTGTAGTATAGTCTGAGGTCAGGGAGTCCGATTCCTCCACCTCCGCTTTTTTCCCTCAAGACTGCTTTGGCTATTCAGGGTCTTTTGTGTCTCCATACAAATTTTAAGATTTTTTTGTTCTAGTCCTATAAAAAAATGCCATTGGTAATTTGATAGGGATTGCATTAAATCTGTAGATTGCTTTGGGTAGTATACTCATTTTCACAGTGTTGATTCTTCCAATCCAAGAACATGGTATATCTCTCCATCTGTTGGTATCATCTTTAATTTCTTTCATCATTGTCTTATAATTTTCTGCATACAGGTTTTTTATCTCCCTAGGTAGGTTTATTCCTACGTATTTTATTCTTTTTGTTACAATGGTAAATGGGAGTGTTTCCTTAATTTCTTTTTCAGATTTTTCACCATTAGTATATAGGAATACAAGAGATTTCTGTGCATTAATTTTGTATCCTGCAACTTTACCAAATTCATTGATTAGCTCTAGTAGTTTTCTGGTGGCATCTTTAGGATTCTCTATGAATAGTATCATGTCATCTGCAAACAGTGACAGTTTTACTTCTTCTTTTCCAATTTGTATTCTTTGTATTTCTTTTTCTTCTCTGATTGCCATGTCTAGGACTTCCAAAACTATGTTGAATAATTGTGGTGAGAGTGGACATCCTTGTCTTGTTCCTGATCTTAGAGGAAATGCTTTCAGTGTTTCACCATTGAGAATGATGTTTGCTGTGGGTTTGTCGTATATGGCCTTTATTATGTTGAGGTAGTTTCCCCCTATGCCCACTTTCTGGAGAGTTTTTATCATAAATGGGTGTTGAATTTTATCAAAAGCTTTTTCTGTATCTATTGAGATGATCATATAGTTTTTATCCTTCAATTAGTTAATATGGTGTATCACATTGATTGATTTGCATATATTGAAGAATCCTTGCATCCCTGGGATAAATCCCACTTGATCATGGTGTATGATCCTTTTAATGTGCTGTTGGATTCTGTTTGCTAATATTTTGTTAAGGATTTTTGCATCTATGTTCATCAGTGATACTGGTCTGTAATTTTCTTTTTTTGTAGTATCTTTGTCTGGTTTTGGTATCAGGGTGATGGTGGCCTCATAGAATGAGTTTGGGAGTGTTCCTTCCTCTGCAATTTTTTGGAAGAGTTTGAGAAGGATGGGTGTTAGCTATTCTCTAAATGTTTGATAGAATTCACCTGTGAAGCCATCTGGTCCTGGACTTCTGTTTGTTGGAAGATTTTTAATCAGTTTCAGTTTCATTACTTGTGATTGGTCTGTTCATATTTTCTATTTCTTCCTGGTTCAGTCTTGGAAGGTTATACCTTTCTAAGAAGTTTTCCATTGCTTCCAGGTTGTCTATTTTTTTGGCATAGAGTTGCTTGTAGTAGTCTCTTAGGATGCTTTGTATTTCTGTGGTGTCTGTTGTAACTTCTCCTTTTTCATATCTAATTTTATTGATTTGAGTCCTCTCCCTCTTTTTTTTGATGAGTCTGGCTACTGGTTTATCAATTTTGTTTATCTTCTCAAAGAACCAGCTTTTAGTTTTATTGATCTTTGGTATTGTTTTCTTTGTTTTTTTCATTTACTACTGCTCTGATCTCTATGATTTCTTTCCTTCTGCTAACTTTGGGTTTTGTTTGTTCTTCTTTCTCTAGTTCCTTTAGGTGCAAGGTTAGATTGTTTGAGATTTTTCTTGTTTCTTGAGGTAGGCTTGTATAGCTATAAACTTCCCTCTTAGAACTGCTTTTGCTGCATTCCATAGGTTTTGGATTGTTGTGTTTTCATTGTCATTTGTCTCTAGGTATTTTTTGATTTCCTCTTTGATTTCATCAGTGATCTCTTGGTTATTTAGTAATGTATTGTTTAGCCTCCATGTGTTTGTGTTTTTTATGTCTTTTTCCCTGTAATTCTTTTCTAATCTCATGGCATTGTGGTCAGAAAAGATGCTTGATATGATTTCAGTTTTCTTAAATTTACTGAGGCTTGATTTTTGACCCAAGATGTGATCTATCCTGGAGAATGTTTGTGCACACTTGAGAAGAAAGTGTAATCTGCTGTTTTGGGATGGAATGTCCTGTAAATATCAATTATATCTATCTGGTCTATTATGTCATTTAAAGCTTCTGTTTCCTTATTTATTTTCATTTTCGATGATCTGTCCATTGGTGTAAGTGAGGTGTTAAAGTCCCCCACTATTATTGTGTTACTATTGATTTCCTCTTTTATAGCTCTTAGCAGTTGCCTTATGTATTGAGGTGCTCCTATGTTGGGTGCATATATATTAATAATTGTTATATCTTCTTCTTGGATTGATCCCTTGATCATTATGTAGTGTCCTTCCTTGTCTCTTGTAACATTCTTTATTTTAAAGTCTATTTTATGTGATATGAGTATTGCTACTCCAGCTTTCTTTTGATTTCCATTTGCATGGAATATCTTTTTCCATCCTCTCACTTTCAGTGCGTATGTGTGCCTGGGTCTGAAGTGGGTCTCTTGTAGACAGCATATATATGGGTCTTGTTTTTGTATCCATTCAGCAAGCCTGTGTCTTTTGGTTGGAGAATTTAATCCATTCATTTAAGGTAATTATCGATATGTATGTTCCTATGACCATTTTCTTAATTGTTTGTGGTTTGTTTTTGTAGGTCCTTTTCTTCTCCTTTGTTTCCTACTTAGAGAAGTTCCTTTCACATTTGTTTTAGAGCTGGTTTGGTGGTTCTGAATTCTGTTAGCTTTTGCTTTTCTGTAAAGATTTTGATTTCTCCATCGAATCTGAATGAGATCCTTGCCAGGTAGAGTAATCTTGGTTGTAGTTTCTTTCCTTTCATCACTTTAAGTATATCATGCCACTCCCTTCTGGCTTGTAGAGTTTCTGCTGAGAAATTAGCTGTTAAACTTATGTGAGTCCCCTTTTACGTTACCTGTTTTTTTTTCCCTTTCTGCTTTCAATAATTTTTCTTTGTCTTTAATTTTTGCCAGTTTGATTATTATGTGTCTCGGCATGTTTCTCCTTGGGTTTATCCTGTATGGGACTCTCTGTTTTTCCTGGACTTGGGTGGCTATTTCCTTTCCCATGTTAGGGAAGTTTTCAACTATAATCTCTTCAAATATTTTTTCCTGTCCTTTCTCTCTCTCTTCTCCTTCTGGCACCCCTATAATGTGAATGTTGTTGCATTTAATATTTTCCCAGAGTTCTCTTAGGCTGTCTTCATTTCTTTTCATTCTTTTTTCTTTATTCTGTTCAGCAGCAGTGAATTCCACCAGTCTGTCTTACAGGTCACTTATCCATTCTTCTTTCTCAGTTATTCTGCTATTGATTCCTTCTAGTGTATTTTTCATTTCAGTTATTGTATTGTTCATCTCTGTTTGTTTGTTCTTTACTTCTCCTAGGTTTTTGTTAAACATTTCTTGCATCTTCTCGATCTTTGCCTCCATTCTCTTTCCGAGGTCCTGGACCATCTTCACTATCATTATTCTGAATTATTTTTCTGGAATGTTGCCTATCTCCACTTCATTTAGTTGTTTTTCTGGGGTTTTATCTTGTTCCTTCATCTGGTACATAGCTCTCTGCCTTTTCATCTTGTCTATCTTTCTGTGAATGTCAGATGTTACTTCACTTGATGGAAGCAGGAGGGTATAGGTTGATTTATTGCACTTCCCCTTCTCTAATCTACCATCATTATTAGCCCACTGCTCACCTGGCTTTTGACAGTCAAACTCATTTTTATCTTCAGAAAAGAGCTAAGTACAGTATGGATAATTGAAAACCACATTCAGTTGTCTTATTTCAGCCAAAAGATTCAACTTTTTTTTTTTTTAAAGCTTACTGAGCCAATTGCGCAAGTCCTGCTGTAAAGTAAACCTGACATGTCTGAGCACATTGTGTAGCTGTGACACACACAGGTGTATTTCCTCCCAACCACACACACAAACACACATTGCCATCAGCAAGTCAGATTCATGATATTTGACATTATTTTCCCTTCAGAAACTGGTAGAACATTTGTGTAAAATATCAGCTCATGTTTTGTGAAACATGACAAATTACTCAGAAATCTCTGTTCCTCCCTTTATGTGTACTTGGGATGTCCCAAGAAGTTCTGAGATGGCCTTAGCAATACATCTTACATTCATGTCAAGCATTTTGTTGACATCAATAGGAATTTTACTCTTGGGAAATGTCCTGGATTAAGACCCCAGACACATAGAGAAGACAAGAAGCATTTTAAAGGTACCAGGGAATCAAGATGTCAGGTAAGTGTCCACCTTGAGAGCAAACACCCCTGGGTATCCATCAGCTGTAGTAAATGGGGTGCAGTCAGCAGTGTGGCATTTGACATAGGATTACAATATAGTTTGCCCAAATTTTCCTGTTTCTGGAAAGAAAGGAAAAAAAAGGAAGGCTGGTGGATAATTGGATAATTGTATAAGATTGTATAATAGTGATGGGTCTTCTGTTATTCAGGATGTGTGTAGTGCCCAGAGGGAGCCATTTGACAGGGAAATCAACCCTTCTCTCACCCTCCTACTAAGTATTGTCTTAGACAAAGCCAGTCCTGAGACTTATGGCCCCATTTTGAAGTAAATAACCATTGTAGATAACCATGTATATAGGTATAAGCACTTCTGATGGAAATTTAATTTAGCAAACTATAAAAACACCCTGTCCTTGGAATATATCTTATAAACTAGGGCATTGAGACTGTCTAAAACATATTAATTTAATATCCCTTGATTGGTCTTAAAAAAACTGTTTAAAACCAATGTCCTTTTATTTTTGTCTTAGCATTTAATTTCATTTGCATATGACTAAGACTGTTTCTTTTTGGTAAATTTAATTTGCTAGAGTTTGGCACCCAACACAGAAAGAATGGCATCCTCTGAGATAGGGCTGCTAACAACGGCAAGTAGCATTGCAAATAAATTTGATCTATAGGCTTTTCAAACTTCTCAGATGTGATCCCTGACATTTGGCCTGATGAAGGAAACCCTGGGGACTGGAAAAACACAAAGCATGCTACTGTAGTGGCATGCAAAATGTCTTATAACCTGTCTTTATCTTTCATGGCTGTAGTGGTCTGGATTGAGTAGACCAAATTGGGCTAAACACTATCCTTGGCTACTCTCACAAAGCTGTTTTCAAAAGCTAATAGGAGCTGTGTGTGCACATTCAAGGACAATATTTGGCCCCTTTTGTTTTTGCACAAACAGTTGATTTAGTTGAGATGATTATTCCTGACTGACTGTTTTATAAGCAGCATTTTGTCCAGTTTAAATCTCTTTTCACTTTATTCTTCAGAGTCAAGACATTTATGAATATGGAAACATGTAACTCAAAATCTTCAGTTTCTGCAAAAATAAAAATCTCCCCCATAAAACCTGTGAGTATTGCAAATGAACTGGGAAGTAGGTAAATCAAGTCATGTTAATGTGGCAAAAACAGAAGTAACACTGAGAAAAAGTGTTAATACTCATTAATGGTAGCAATCTGATTAAAATTTTTATAGCACATTGATCCTTGATCTTTCAAAACAGAAATGTGTTGTTAAATAATATTTTCAAGGCAAATATGGACTATCAATACATTTATTTATTTATGCAAGAAAAAGTTTGAAATTAACCCTCAGTGCAATTCTTTTCTCTTCCCTGAAAAGCATATTATATAAATCTCACTTTTTTTTCCAAAGGCCAAACCTTTGAAATGGAAGAGAATCAGTCTAATAGAAAAGTTTTTATTATTGGAAATTGGGTCATCTTTAGAATTTCCTACTAGAAAATCACACGTTTAACCAGGGCCTTAAGGTTTTGGAAGGGACATATTGCATAAATCAATACAAGATATAAATAATATGAAAGACAGTCTAGAATTTCTTGACTCTTTGAGGCACTTACAAGAGTTAGCTCATTTCTTTTGTGCTTGAAGCAAATCTTTTATTTTTATGGTTTCTTATTGCCCTTTTTCTGAAGATCATCAATTTAAGAATGTATTTAGTTATAAGTTGGAATAAGAATTTTCAAAAGTCACAATTATATACATTGCCTATGCATTTATTAATAATTGCAAGTTAAATATTTTCACTTTTTGCAGGGTTAATAATTTATGCAAGAATAATCCCACCGAGTTCCTTGAGTGGTTGATGATTTGTCTAAAATAGTGGAGATATATATATATATATATATATATTTTTTACCCTACCTGCCAATGTGAACAGATTCCAGGTCTTTGAGACCCATCATATCTCTGTTTGAAACATTTTGAATACCAACTCCGAAAACTTGACATTAATAAAACATTAAAGTTCCAACTTAAGCCCATAAAAGTCAAGAAATCCAGAATTAAGATCGGCCCAGCTCTCTTAACTCTGTTCTCCTGCATGTATGCACGGGTGATGGGACAACGGTGCAGGCTGTTGCTTAAATCAGTCTCCCTGCATAATCTGAAAATGTAATTGAATTAGTGTGTAAAGTATTTACATACCCTGCAGTGGAGAGCCCCACGCACTATATTATCCACATCCCCTCTTCAGGCCCTCATTTTAACTCCTCACTGCAGTGTTCCTGTGAGGCTTCCTCAAACATTCAGAAATTGGACTTGCAAATACAATTTCCCTTCTTTTACGAGGCTTCAAGATGAGTGATGCATGCTCAGTTTTCCTAGTTGCCTTTCAGCTCCTGGCCAGACAAATAAAGTTTAGGTTACATTCTTCTTTTTGGTTAACATTCTCAGGGTTTGCTAGGTATTAAACAATGCCATTCTGTGGTTAAGGATTATTTTATGCTCTAATTCAACTAGTTGCAGGACAGTTTGCCATATTAATATGAAAATTAGAAACATCATTTTGAGTTTAGGAACATATAGTTGTATAGCACAGTCTTCAGAGCAGGACTTTGGTTTCTGATAGACCCATGTTCCAACAATAGTCCCTGTTTTGGCACTTAACTGTCACTTAAACTTTCCAAGCCTCTGTTTTCTCCTCTGTAAAATGGGGATAATAAAGATCTTTCTGATCGTCAAGATTCAATGATATTGTGAGGACTTAAAGAGATGATGTATATAAAATGATTGATATGTAGTAAGCACATAATTATTGGCTGCTGTAATTATTATTTCCTATTTTGGTAGGAAATAATAGCGTATTTCATTCCTTTTTCTTCATAGAGTGTGAGACAGGGGCTTCAAATAGAATTTGAATGTTCAGAAATGTTAAAAGTAAAATTTAATAATAAGCATGAAAAGGATATTTTTCCTTAGCCCTGATTCAAGAAATGTACAGTGATATCAGTTTTCAGATATCAGGTCAGATTGGCAAAGATTTTTCAAAGAATGATAATATCCAATGTTGGGTATGGGGAAACAGGCTTTCTCTGACACTGCTAACTAGTATAAACTGGTATACCATTTTGACAGGCAATCTGATGATGTGTACAAAAAATTTAAAACATGTATCTTGTTTGACTCAGCAATTCTACTCCTAGAAATTTATCTGCATTTTCAGGAATATTCGTGAAAGTCCTACTGAAAAATTAGAAAGAATCTAAATGTTAATATGGGGCTTAAAGTAAATTATATTGCAATCATACAGTGGGATACTACAAAACCATTAAAAATGAATGAATTGTGCATGTGTAATAAGTTTGATTGAGGAGTCATAGACTGCAGGGCAGACATTTGAAATGGTCTCCATTTTTCCTAATAACTGTTATCATTGCTCTCTGTGGAACCTATCTTTCTTTCTGAGCAGTGGGCTTCCTTAGCTACTTCTCATTCTTTTTGCAGAACTTTCAGTCACTTTTCGTTATTTAAACAGTCTCATTCTGTTTATTGAGACCCAAAGCTAGCTTCATGGGCCTGTGACCTGTGCCATTGCACAAGGCCTGCACTCTGAAGGGCCCTCAACAAGGTTTAATACTCGGAAGTTGTTTTCTTGGAATTTTTAAGAACTTTATTTTCGAATTTGCATTTTGTATATGAAACATGTGTCTGTATTTTTTGCTGCCCCATCAGCATATAGCACTCTTGATGCCCTGAACACTGAATTCCAGTTAACCCACCATATGTGGGAGTCAGTGAGACTCAAGGTAAATACAAGGTAAGGGAGTTCCATCAATAGCTGAGTGAGCGGGGTCCCTGACAGCCCCAAAGGCTGTGCTTTCCATTCAAACCAGAACTTGTTCTGAATGCAGAAACAAGGTAACGGCATTCTAAGAATCGCGAATGACCAAGACACCCTGTCATATCCTTTCATATTTCTGTTACTTCTGTGTGTTTGCCAGCCACTTATGCTACAGATGATGATATAGAAGTAAAGGGAAAGAAGAGCAACGCATAATGTCTTGTCCTTTCAGTCTTTCCTAACTCAGCAGTAAGCCGAAGGTAGACAATGTTGGACAGGGTGTACCTTCAGGAGGGGAAATTAAAATGGTTCAGTTAGTTTCCACTGCTCTGCTAAGAACGAAATACATATGCACGTGTGAGCTACAAAATACAAATCGTGTAATTTTGGTGACCCATATATGAGCTAAAAGCTTTGTATTTGCCTTTAAAACTGAGATAGAAAAATATATATGTGAGCGATAATATTCATGGCAATAATTTGAATTTTTAGTTTTTCTTAGAACAACATTACAGAGCAAAAACCAAATACCATGACAGGTTGAAGGAGAGGTTGCAGAAGAACAAAAATAATTTTATATTTTAGTACCATTAATGCCACTTTTTTACTGCTCTTTGAAGAAGGAGCCCAATATTTTCATTTTGAACTGAGCCTCACAAATTAGGTTGCTGGCCCTGATACCAATGGTGAAAGAAGCAAATGTATGGGGGGCATCTGTTACTTTTGTTTGTCAGCTTTCATTCACTCTTCTGTCAACAGTCCCTCATTTTCTGGAGGCATCGCCCACAGTCCGTGTGTTTAGGAAGGAATTTATTTCACAGGTGGCTGCAGGGGTAAATGTGAGACTCAAGCCTTGGTCAATCAGAATATTTCATTTTCCTGGTCATATTAAGAGGTTTGGAGATGAATATTTGAGCCATGTTGACCCATACAAATCATAGGACTTGTGTAAGAAAGAGCAGGAAGAAATGATCTGCCTTTTCTTGCTAAAATTTACCTTGAGGACGGGTGAACCTGGAGCTACTGGTGGACAGCATATGGAGCCCGAGAGTAATACCAACATGGAGAATGGCAAGGGTGAGGGATGGTTAGAAACCAAGTCCCGGTGATAACATTTAAGTCCCTGGATCAAGCTATACCTGAAGCTCTAGATCGAGTTTTTAAATCTGTGAGAACTTTTATGCTCAAGCTAGTATGAATTCGATTTTGCCACTTACAATAGAGTTCTGACATAGCATGTACAGATTGCTTTCATTAGTTTTCTGTGCATAATAGATATCTCTAAAGATATATACCAAACTGGTAACAGTGGATATCCCATTCAGGGAAGATAATGAAAAGGACTTTCATTTATAATTTTGTACTGTTTTCTTGAGTAAGGATTTTGTAAAACAGGTATTATTTACTTTAAGCCCAGAAAAAGCCATAAAAGTATTTCCATCTTGGGGAAAAAAAGGTCAATGATGCTTAACGTTAACGTAATAATTTTCCATACTGACAAAAACGCAAATGTCTTTAAGTAGATCTTACATAGATTATTCAGTTACGGGGGCTAGTATTCCCACGCCAACTTCTCTACAGAATGACATGGGAATGCAAGGCAGCCACAGAATCATCCCACAAGCCTTTAACCAGCAATTTTGCTGGTTGGTGCCATGAAATTATACTGTAGAAAACAGCAAATAGGAGAAGACTAATGAGTTTGGCCTTACTAACCACTTAAAGGTGGAATGGTTAATTCTCAAGTAGGCAATCTTTTGCCTTACCATGTTCTAACCTGTATGTGTGAAGAGAAGGAGAAACTTTGGATTTGAGGCAGTATCAAAATGGGGCATTGAGAAGGCAGAAAGGAGTAAAGTCAGGCAGCTAAGGAAGGTTAGAGCAATCTCATGGAGAGTGTTCAAAGAACCCTGCAGGGCTTCCCTGGTGGCACAGTGGTTGAGACTCTGCCTGCCAAGGCAGAGGACACGGGTTCGAGCCCTGGTCTGGGAAGGTCCCACATTGCTGCGGAGCAACTAGGCCCGTGAGCCACAACTACTGAGCCTGCGTGTCTGGAGCCTGTGCTCCGCAACAAGAGAGGCCGCGACAGTGAGAGACCCGCGCACCGCGATGAAGAGTGGCCCCTGCTCGCGGCGACTAGAGAAAGCCCTCTCACAGAAACGAAGACCCAACACAGCCAAAAATAAAATAAATAAATAAATTAAATTAAAAAAAAAAAAAAAAAAAGAACCCTGCAGAACATATTTTCACCAGCCCAGGGTCCTGCTAGGTGGGATTGCTGTACCACCTTGAAGATACCCAGTGGTGGTGTTTTACACATATCATTGCCTGAGGGCTCCAGCAGAGTCGGGAAGGGCTGGATGCAAGGATCCTGTTTTCTAAGCATCCTGCCCAGCAGTGTGGTCAGTCAGGACCGGCTGTGGGCTGTTCTCCAACACGGCATCCCATACACTTGCTAATCCTTCTGCTTATGATCTCAGCACTACTTCCCTTCCCCGACGAGATATCCCTCTTTGTCCCCAAACAGAGCACACATAGACATCTTCCCCAACAGTTTAATCTAGGGAAATTTGTTTCCAATGTTATCACAATAGATTCGAATGGTTCCTTTCTGTCTGACTTTGCTCTTTTACATATGGGTATGAAAGCAAAACTGTTATCATTCATTTGTATACAATAGATCAGATGGTTTCTTGGAAACTATCTTTGACAGGGTGAAAATCTAAGAAGGACACTGGTTGAGGCTACGAGGAAAGGTGGGTGGAGGCAGGAAGAGGGACCCTCTTGAGGGATAAGGAGGAAAAGGAGTGAGGGGCTGGGCCTCTGGAGGGTGACCCTGGCTACTGCGCTATTTCACTAGTGCTGAGTTTTGGAGTCAGTGAGGGTTATCGCAGTGCTTGGAGGGGGCAAATATTATTTAGTCATTTGCCAAATACTCTTTAAAGTAATACGAACATCAGGTAAAATGTTCAAGTGGAACAAAAGAGAACGCAGTGAAGAGTAATTCTCCCTGTCACCCTCACCCCTCCTCTTCTGTTTCCAGAGGCCACCGCCCCCGGCTTCTGCATTCTTCTGGACAGCCTGTGCCCGTTTAAGCACGCTTGTTTGGTTCTTCCCCTTGGCTTGACCTTGACTTAGACCTGTTAAGTCAGTACCTAAATTGCAATTTGAAGATGACACTCAGCTTTGCACTTTGGCATTCTTTCCTTAAGCTAAGTAATGAATAAAGAAGCATATTCAAGAGCTTGAAAGCCCTCACTGTAGGTACGTGATTAACTCCTGTACCTGTCTTTCAAATCTTTTGTTGCATAAAGCCGAGCAGGTGACTGGTGCATTCTCTCTTTCAGCAGGATGCGACATTTCCAATTCACTGCAAAACCAAGTTCAAACTGCTAAAAAAGCTAGTTTTTAATTACCTTGAGATACAAGTTGCGAGGAGGCAGCCTGACAGCTCTCATCCATGAGATCAGTAAGCTGTGAAGACATGTGGTCAGATATGTCTTGTCATTAATATATGCAGTGTGATCAGATGTCATCATAATTGTAATTGTTACAGGATCATAAAGCTGCAGAGAAACAGAAAAAGCAAATACCTTTCTTTGAAAGGTCAGCCAGGAAAACAAACTGAGCTCATCAATAAAATAGGGGTGCAAAGAGAGATGAGTATTTATAAGGAATTCTCCTGAAAATCAAGTGAGCAAAGACTTTTACAATAATGTTCAATTTAAATTAGGAGGTGGGCAAATGAGGTCCCGGTCGATTACTCTACATTGAATTAAATATTGATGTAAATAACAGCAATGATTTTCTAAGTTCTGTAATTAGCACTGGCTAGCAATATAAATTGGCTTTCTCAGATAACTCTGTGTATTTGACTAAATTTTCAAGATTGATGTTTTATAAATTTAAGCAATGGGATACATGTACCTCTAAAGAAATGTTTTCCACATAAAGCAATAGTGATGCATTTCCTTTAAAAAAAGTGCTTGTGTGTGTGTGTGTGTGTGTGTGTGTGTACATTCCACATACTTTGCCCACAGATCATCATGGAGAGGGCTTTCGAGAGGATCTTTATCTTGCTGTAGTGCCAGATCTTAAAATAAGATTTAAGGGCTGGGAAGTCTGATTGAGTGGGACTGAGATGTGATTTCCAGTAGTACCGCTCACCAGAGGGGAGAACAGAAACTGCTGTTTCTGTATATGGGAGGTGAGACATTTTTGGACAGACATATTTTAATTCAGCCTTTTCTTTTGAAATCAAATATATGCTGTGTCTACCATGAGATGTGTGGTTCCTTATTATAGCTAATGGATTGTTCATCCTCTTTGTCCTTGAGGTAATCCTAAGTATGTGCAAAAAACTGAGATCAGGTTGCCCATAAAAACCAATCAGCGGGGAGGTGGTCCACAAGGTGTTGAACATTCCCTAGAGCAGATGGGAAAGATAATGTTTAATCAAGAGTTGGAGGATTAGGTAGCACAAATCAAGCCAAGAGAAAGGGAGAACTTCATTTCGGGAGAACCTCTGTGACATTTCTTGTACCCAAAGACAGATGAGAACAATCCCACAGCCATGAGTTCTGGCTACTCTCTCCCCACAGCTGACCCTGCAGACGTCGTCAGCTTTGGCTTTGCCAGCATCGTCGCCTGAATCTGTGAATTACTCAGACGGTGGTTTCTCAGGTTTATGAAGATGTATGAAGTGAGTCATTCACAAATGAAGATACCTGTGAGGAAATGACAGAATTCTGCTAAATATGTTTATATTTGCACAACTGATACATCTGACCGTGATTTAGAAAAGGATGCGTGTAAGTTTATAGAAATGACAGTTAAAAAGATAACTGTCACGATGTTTACTGATGAAGTTTCTATTTATCTTAATGTTTAGAAGTTCAAGGAAAAGATGGATTGTGGATTACAGCCTAAGCGTTTTTGAGCCTGAATCTGTTATAACAACTTGTGGCAAATGGAGGCAGCAGGAGGGTGGAGTCAACTAGTCAAGAGTCCTCTGCAGAGGTAAGATTGTGAGGCCTTTGACAGCTGAAATACAACCTCATTTATCTTTAACCATGTTTACTGAAACAATTAAGTGCAGGATGGAGAGGTGGGTAAAGTCGCTGTTTGTGGCCTGCTGGGCTGGGTCCTGGCGTTCACTCAGAAGGGCTGCAGCTTCAAGATGCAGCCATGGGCCCGAGACAGCATCACTGCTCCTGCTTCGTCCTTTGTTCTAGGCCCTGGGCTGTGCTCTTTGCTCTTCTGCTTAGTTTGCTGCAAACGTCGAGAAGCACTTTTCATTTTAGCTGCTGGCAGCCTCAAGTCTAATAGCCTGGAGGAAGTTGCCAAACAAATGTAACCTCTTCTGTTGGCCTGGAGGCTCTTTACCTGTGTTTGCGGCAGGGCTGTCTGTTTGGCAGTGCACTTACACACTGTGGAAATGTGCTCTGGGAGGTGTTAAACTGAATTGGGGAATATTTCAAACCATTCCTTAAATACTAGAACTGAAATGTTGTGTTGCTGAAGTGGCCTGGGCTGGAAACTTTTGAGTGAAAAGTTAGATCCTGGTTTTTCTTGAAGACGAAATGGAGCCCTGGGGTATGTGGTTTTCAGGTTTCCTCTATTTGCTAATTTTGGAAATGGACTTTTCACAGTTTTCTTCTCTTTTGTGTTGAGACTTTGGTTTTGCTTCTACATGCAGCTCTGGATAGAAAACTGAGGATTGCGCTTTTTACTTTGATTCTAGTTAATTGGCACAGAGGCGAAGCAACAATGGATACAACTATTAAGAACCATAAATAAATATATTAGTTTTATGATATGATCAGTGTCCTTTGATATAGTAACAAACATAAAAGAGCAGGGTACTGGGCAAAGGATCCTGCAAATTGTCAGATATTCACAAACCCTGGATCTCAATTAAGAGGCCTAGTAAGAAAAAGATCCAGCTTTTTAAAAAAAATATTCTGAATGGATTTTATTTTTTTAAAGCAGAGAAATATAACTTTTAGAGAAGGACAAGCACACAAATTCCCTGCAAAGATAATTTAGATCTACTATCAAATCTTTCTTTAAGGTCTCAGAGAGTTTGTCCTAGTTATGAAGGCAAATGTCTTACTAAAAGACACCAGGGCTTGTATCTTTGAATACAGATACACAAAAGAGTCCAAGCTTTACGGTTTCCAGACAGATAAAATAGAAGAAGCTTAATTAATCTTATAGCAATAAATCTTTGTTGTTACAGAATAATGTTTATCGTTGAACATTCCCGGTGTTTGCCACGACTGAGTACCTGTAGTGCTGTTATTAGTAATTTTCTTTAGGTTGATTTAGCTTGAGGGGTCCACATACTAGGGCTCAGAGAGCAGCCCACAAAGAGGACATGGGTACACTTTTCACTCTGGTCTGGAGTTAACTTGACTTGGTTCATTTTATTCAAGGCATAGGGAAGCTGCCTTCTTGGAGGACCTGCACCTGAATCTGGGAATTGTTACATGTGCTGTTACCTCTGAAGCAATTACAACTCTTCTGTGAGCCCAGTGGCAAGAATTCCTTTTATGCACTTAACCAACTATGGAATAGTTGCTCCAATTCAGTCTTCCATGGTGGAGCCATGGAAGGACTTAGGGAAGGTTTCCATCAAATTGCATGCAGACAGAGCTGTACATCTCTACATACCAATACCAGATGCTGTGCATGTAGTGGAACCCTCGTTAAAACCTGAGCTGATTTTTAAACTGTCATCTTCCCTCTTGTTATTTTTTAAAAATTTTTGATAGTTTAAATCCAATACTATTGTCCAGTTTAATTTCCCAACCTTGTGTGACAGGTTTTACAATACTGGTATTATCAGGACTATAGTCTTCTAATCCTCAGATCAGCATCTCAAAGAAAAGTATTTTTATCTCACATAGTCCAACTTCCAATAGCTCAGGGTAAGAATTCCCTCTACAGCCTCCTGATCGCCCTATATAGCCTCTTATTGAATGTTCTCAGTAAAGGGCACTCACTTGTTCTTTCTAGTCTTTCTGTTTTGGTGGCTCTACTTTTTTCCATAGAAGAAAGAACATCTTTCCATAGAAAACTCAAATTCTGCCTCCTTGTCCCCTCGCCCTTTTGCCTCAGTTCTGCTTTCTGGAGCTACAAATACATGTACACCCTCTGTTAAGTTAGAATTCAAAAATACTAAAGAGAGTTTTTTTGTTCTCCCTAAATCTTCTCTTTTCTAGGCAAAACTTACATCACTCATTCATTCAAAAGATGTTTACTGAGTAGATACATGAGCAAACGCTGGGTTAGATGCAGTGGGTGATGTAAGGGTGATTCAGACAACTAGTTCTCATTGACTTTGCTTACAGAACTGTCAACACACACACCACCTTCTTCTGGATAAACTATCCTATCGTTTGTTTCTAGATTGAGAGCTTCTTGAGAGCTGAGACCATGACATCACTTGAGTATCCCTGAAGCAGACACATAAGTGGATATGCAACAAATGCTTTCTGACTTTCCTCCATTCCTCTGAAAATGAGGCCCCTAAGCCTTGGTTTGATCAGCACAAGCATATCACACTGCTTGATCTGATGCTGACATTGTGTACGGGCTCACAAGTCCTCGGTCCACACAGACTGCTGTAAGACTCTGTCTCACTTGCTATCTCATTTAAAATGCCCAACAAGGCTGAGAGGTAGATACTGTTTTGCCCAGTTTTTAGATGAGAAAACAGAGAGAGATATGAGATTTAAAATGATAGTAGCCACAGGTGTGCTCTAAATCTATGTTTGGGATTTTTAAAAATAGGGATCCTAGTTCCTGGTTTCCCACCATTTTCTAATTTGTACCTGAGTTTTTGATCCTGATGTAGAACTATACCACTATATTTATGAAATTATATCTTGTTGGTTTTGGCCTACGCTTCTAGCCTGTTGAGTCCTTCTGGATACTTAATATGGTTATTTTATCATCTTAGCTATTCCTTTCAGTTTGTGTACTTGTCACTAATATGCTAAGAATATTCTTCTTTCATGTAAGTTATTGATGAGAAATGCTGATAGTCCAAAGATAGAGAGCTGTGTCACCTATGAGAAACCTTGCTCCAGGATGATATCGATCCACTCATCGCTGTTGTTTTGGGTACATTTGTTTAATTATTCTATCATGCAGCCCACATATTTCCATTTTGACCATAAAGATAACATGAAAAGCTTTGCAAATTAAAGTGTATTTTGTTTTAAATCAGATGTTTCTCTACATGAGTTGAGTTGTTTGCCATGTAGTAAGCAGACAACAATTAGTTTTTTATTTGCTATTCCAGAGTCTGTGATTTGGTTCATACTGTAGTTTAATGTATGTACTAATGAATAGTGTTTTTGAAAGAGCTTTATGCACACATGTAAGTTTTATCATCTATTTCTCTCTCACGATATTTTTCCTTTCCTTCCTGCCTCCAAATATTTCTATGTATTATATGTTTAAAAATATGAGGAAAAGGTGTGTTTAAAAGAAAATGAAAGGCTTGTTGCAAACTAATATATTTTCCCAGCAGAAACACTCATTTAATGTATACATGCAAAACTTTAACACCTGATTTAAAAATGTATGAAGAAACTCAGGAGCTGAATTACAGGATTTGCCTGTCTCTCTTTTTCTCTTGCCTTGGGCAATCTAGTCTAATTACAAAACTTGCCTTTCATTCTGTTTAGTGTTTCTCAGCTATGCATGAAAAAAGTTAATCAAAAAATAAAATGAAAAACTGTGATGGCTAATCGAAGTCCCATAAATTTCTCTTCTGTTGCCTAGTTTGTCTTTGGGGATGAACTCCAAAATGCTACCTTTCATGCATCATTAGATGCACTGTGACTGTTGGTCTCTGCTTCTTTTAAAGAAAAAGATTCCTTTAATTTTAGAATTTTTCAAAATCAGAAAATGAAAAGAAAATCATGGCTCTTCCTATCTTCATTTATCCCTTATCTGTAATTGTTGGGAGGTTTGTAACCATGAAAGACACTGGACCAACAAGCTCAAAGATGGGTAATGTCTCTGATTAGAGCAGATTAGAGAGAAAAGTGATTTACACCCCTTCTTGTCCTCTAGTGTGTTTTGTAGGGAAGTAAAGTGACTCTTTTTCCTTCTACCCATCTTAGGGTGGTTGGCTGGGACCCTGTAAATTATACTAACAAAATAAGATAGATTAACAAGAGAAAAAGAAACAGGTTTATTAGCATGTGCATCATGCATTCACATGTGAGAACTCAGTGATAGTAACTCAAAAGGGTGGTTAGAACTTGGGCTTATATAGCATCTTAACAAAAGAACAATAAATTTTTAGAGAAGTGACAAGATAGAGGAAAAGGGCTTTGAGTTTCTAGGGTGGCAAATTGTGGGGGAACTAATGGAAGATGAGGGCAAGTTAGTAAATTTGCTATGTGGATTCTTCTGATGACTTCTCTGGGCTGATAAAGGTCTAAGGTTGTCTTCGGTAAAGTCTGTCCTTCCTGGTAGAGTGGGGAGCGGGGATATCTTTACAAAGTTACATCAGGTTTTAGGCAAACAGGGGGATGGAAGAGAGCTTTTCTTGTATCTGTTTCTTCTCAGTTGGCTTCGTCTCAAAATGATTCTTATGCCACAGAGATATATTTTGAGGTGGCACATTCTACTACCCTTCATTTTGGAAGGACATGATTAAAAGGGTTATTGATTCTTGGCCTATCCTCTATCTGGCTGTCTTGTTTAGGGTGTAGACACGCATATCAACCGCTAGAACCAGTGGTTGTGAGGGTTATTCCTCAAGGGCTAACATGTCATCTTAGTTCATTTCAAATCCCCTTCGTGACAACACTACTGCAAACCAAAAACAATCTGTTAAAGTTAGTGCCTTTAATAAATATCGTTACTTAAGCCTGATAAAATCGTAGACCAGTCTCTTTGTTCTTTGGGAGGCAAAAGAAAAGGTATAGGAGAAGGGTGGGAGATTGGTGAGGATATTTGAGAGTCCTGATATTGTTTTGAAGGGTTGATGGCAATGGTAGTGGGTTGATGATGGACAAAAAGAGCATGTTATAATGCAAGTTTGTGGCATTTTTAGCTGAGCCTGTCACACAAAAGGAGATTTCTGGATGGTGTGTATCTATTGCTCCTGTGGCCTCAATAACCCTACAATTCTCAGTTGTTTGAAGTGAGTGCTGTTGAGAAGCAACATATGCTTCTTCCCCTCCATGCAGAGAAATGAAATTTGGAAAGATGTGCTGAAAGGAAAAACATAGTTTCCTATGGCAAGTTATCTCCAAGAATGAACAATTTCCTGGGATTGTGATAATGGTTGCTAAAACCTCACTGAGAAAAATAATTCAATTGCCCAAATTTGGGCTTAGATCACGTTGCAGCTGGCTCAGTAGAGTGGCAAGGGACCATCAATCTGCTTTGGAGAGAGGTGTCATGCTTGGGAATCATGTGGAGGCAGCCTGCCTTCACTGATACTGGATATGATAAAAGAGTCCTGGGGTCTTTCAGAGAGAGTATACCATTCACATAACACAGCATTGTGTAAGTCTCATGAAGTTTTCTTTTTTGTTTGTTTTCTTTAATGCTATTTAAACTTGCTTTCATAACAACCTGAATAAAATGGAAAATATGTTATTAGAGTTTGTTGAGGAAATCTGTGGATGCATTAACAATAACAGCAATGTGACCAAAGTCATGGGCACTTAGGTTTTTTTGTAAACATTGAAGGCCAATTACTTCAAGGTATTAAACATGTAACCCTCCTATTTTAATTTCCTGGCTGAGACAACTTTGGTATTCCAAAATTTAGCCAGCAACTGACTCAACAATTGGGAAGCCAGTTTTCCAGAAGTCCCAGCTTTGATTTGATCATTTCAAGGTCATCTATAAGATGTGAGCAATAATCAGAAGTGTCAGGCCTTAGAGAACAGCCAACAGCACAGAGTGAAGTACAGTGTGGACCTGTTGAACATGACACAAGCGGGCATATTTGTGAATTCAGAACCAGTGAGTTGCCCAGGACTCCAGTAAGTTCTCTTGCTTTATGATTGTGAATTTTCAGACACACGAAATTAGGATAATGCTGCATTACAAAATCAGCAGTTAGGTGTATGAAAAGATCACTGCCTCAGGAAATCAGGAGACCTGAGGCTTAGTCCCAGGAAATAATCTTAATCTTCATTTGTGAGCAATTACTGTATTACTATATGTGGGGCATCTTTTAATACCTTTTCTCTAGCTTACACAATAATTTAGCTTGGAAGATATTATCCCATGTGAAGAAATGTGAAGAAAGAACTTCAGGAGAGATTAAGTGAGTTTCCCAAGGTCACTAAGCTAGTAAAGAGCCGAGTTAAAATTCAGACTCAAGGCTGTCTCCTGAGGCTGTGTCTCTGTTGAAAGCTCCATGTTCTTTCCTGCATCTTTGTCTTTCCTTCAGATGTTTCTTTTTTTTTTAACTTTTTATTTTATATTGAAGTATGGTTGATTAACAGTGTTGTGTTAGTTTCAGGTGTACAGCAAGGTGATTCAGTTATACATATTCATGTATCTATTTTTTTCAAATTCTTTTCTCCTTTAGTTTGTTACATAATCCTGAGCAGCTGTTTCTTCCTGGAATAAATACCCTTGTTGCTCATCTCAGTCTGTATGACTTTAAGTTCATACAGCCCGACTCCAGTCTACCATTCTTAGGAAGGAATGTCCAGGGACATTCCATCCATTGGTCTCTCCTGAGTGTAACCTCACTGCCCTTCTTACCGTGCTGCTCATTTAGCACCTGCTTATATCTCTGGCATGATCCTCGTGGCCTTTTGTACTTCCCATCTATTGTCAATCACACTTCAGTGTGATGCTCTCCCTCTTCTCTCTCTCTCATTTATAAATTTGGAAGATATTAGGGAAAAAATTAAAGCATAGAAAACTACCATGTACCCTACTACCCCAAATTAGCAAAATTTACCATTTAAAAATATTGGCTTCAAATACTTTTCTTTAAATAAAGAAATAGCACCTTATGATCAAAGTGATATTCACATTATACACTTTCCAATCCCATTCACCTTCTCCCTCTCCAGAGGCAACCACTAATCTGAGTTTGGTGCCTAACCTCTAAGTCTAGGCTTTTTTTGCTTGTTGTTGTTACACATTCTTATATTTGTAAACAATATATAATGTCATTTTGTAATTTTTTTGGTAAGAGAACATAGTATAATTACTGCATATGTCTTTTGAAAATTTGCTTTTGTAACTTGGTATTTAAAAAAATATTGTCACATTTATGCATTTAAATCTAATTTATTCATTTAAATTGTAGCAATTCATTTCATGATCCTAAATGTCTTATTTATCTAGTCCTCTTTTTACAGACATTAGGGTTCTTATGAAACTTTTAAGTTATAAAAGTTATAAAGCTTTTTCAGAGGCTTGGTTTCTCCTTTGCCATTAGACACTAAATTCTCTGATCGAAGGACTGTGGATTATACTTCTTAATGTTTAACATTGTAACCACAATTCAGTAGACATTCAGTTGAATGAGTTGATAAAAATATCTGGGGGAAGTGAAGGTGTTCAAATCTGAGAAGGTTAACATGATTAGAAGCAGGTAGAGGCTGACTTCAAGGAAGTTAGTTGGAATGATATTTTTTTCTTGTATTTATGGAGATGGGAAAGTAGGGTAATAAAAAGCTGCTTGAGATTATACTGAGGGCTTCCCTGGTGGCACAGTGGTTAAGAATCTGCCCGCCAATGCAGGGGACACGGGTTCGAACCCTGGTTCGGGAAGATCCCACATACCTCGGAGCAACAAAGCCTGTGCACCACAACTACTGAGCCTGAGCTCTAGAACCCACAAGCCACAACTACTGAGCCTGCAAGCCACAGCTACTGGGCCTGCGTGCCACAACTACTGAAGCCTCTGTGACTAGAGCCCGTGCTCCACAAGAGAAGCCACCACAATGAGAAACCCACACACCACAATGAGAAGCCCATGCACTGCAATGAAGAGCAGCCCCCACTCGCCACAACTAGAAGAAAGCCTGCATGCAGCAAAGACCCAGAACAGTGTCTGCCACGTAGCCAAAAATAAATAAATAAAATAATAAAGAAGAAAAAAAAGAAAAAATAACATTTGAAACCTTATATAAAAATTAATTTAAAAAGAAATGATCCTGAGATGAGCATGGGTAACCTAGTACCTTTTTTTGTCACGCTAATCAATTTTGTAAAAGACTAGTAACAGAAAATATGGAAAATAATTGATTAAACTACAAGCAAAAATACTTAGAAATGTGCTTAGGTGTATTTGGCAAGTCAGTGCTGACTTATGGCTGGACTGCGCAAATTCTACATCCATTTCTAACTAGGTCATCTCCGTGATTCACCTTGGAGAAATCTAATTGCCCTTGAATATTTGACCTTTAATGTATCAACATAAACAGTTTGTCATCCTGGCTTCATAGCAATATGACAATTGTGCTTGACAGAGATAACAGTTTTCTTTAGGAATGTTAAAGGCCATGGTCTACTTCTTCCGTTTTGTATCTTCCTTTCTGACCCATTTGCATTTTTGTTGCTTTCTGAATGTTGTCAAGATGGATCACAACCAATTACTGGGAGAGAGCTGTGAGGTTGGGAGGTAGGGGTTGTTGCTTTCTGAATGTTGTCTAGATGGATCACATCCAATCATTGGGAGAGAGCTGCGAGGTTGGGAGGT